ATGAATTACAGTCTCCTCACACTCTCAAAGCTGCCTCAGTAAAAGCTGAGCTGAAAGGACAAAATTAAGATGGATGAATCCATGTCATCTGTCCTGATGTTACACAGCAGCAGTAACAAACAGAGATGCTTTCCCTTTCCTTTGGCTCAGTCCTATCAGTTCAGCCAGAGAACAGGTTAAAAGGGAGACCATGTAGGGAGGAAGGATCTCTTCAGTACACACTGGGGCTGACCAACTGGAAAGCAGCTCTGCAGAGAAGGACGTGGTGTGAGGCATAGGAGTTCTGGTGAACACCAACTTGACTATGAGCCAGTAACACAACCTCATGACAACAATAGCCACCAGCATCCTGGACTGCATTAGCAGAGTATTGTCAGTAGGAGGTGATCCTTCCCCTCTACTCAGCTTTAGTGAAGCCACATGTGGAGTATTGTGTCCAGTTCTGGGCTCCCTACTATGAGGGAGACATAGACTTACTGGTCCAGCAAAGTGACAAAAAAGATGATTAAGGGACTGGAGCTTCTGTCATGTGAGGAGAGACTGAGAAAGTGGGAACTGATCAGTCTGGAGAAGCTGCTGAAAAGCAGTTTTGCCGAGAAGGACATGGGGTCCTAGTGGACTGCAGGTTGACCATGAGTCAGCAATGTACCCTTGCAGAAAGGTATTCAACAGCACTCTGGGCTGCAGCATTGCCAGTAGGTGGAAGGCAGTGATCCTTCCCCTCTATACAGCCCTGGTGAGAACACCTGGAGTGCTGAGTCCAGTGCTGGGCTCCTCAATGCAAAAAAGATACCCACTTAATGAAGCAAGTCCAGTCAAGGGCCAGACATGATTACAGGACCAGAGCATCTCTCACATGTAAAGAGACTGGGAAAGCTTGGACTGACCAGCCTGGAGAAAAGAAGCTTCATCAGAGATTGTAAAGAAGAAGGAACGAGATTTTTCTCAGTGGTGTCCAGTGATAGGATAAGAGGCAATGGGCACAAATTGTAACACAGGAAACTCCGAATATAAACATTTTTTTTGCTGTGACAGTGGTTGAACACTGAAACAAGTTGCTCGGCTAAGTTGCAACATGGAGACATGTCTCCAACATGGATGGAGACATCCTTGGAGACAGTCAAAACCCAACTAGGCACAACCCTGGGCAACCTGCTGTAGCCAACTCTGCCCGAGCAGGGAGTTGGACAAGATGATCCCAAGAGATGCCTTCCAGCCTTATCTGTTCTATGATTCTGCTGAGGCACCATTAATAGTGCTACAGCATGCAACAACCATAGCATTCTGCTCTGTACTTGGGAAAGTACTAGTTTATGATCCTGATGAAATGTTACCTGGACATGGACACAACAGTTTCCAAAGACATGGATTAAAGGTTCTCCAGGGTGAAATGCATTTGGGCATTGTAGGGCATTGCCTGAAAACAACTGTCAGGTGTTTCCATGAACTATCAGCATGCTGAAGCAGTTCCAGAAGGTGTGGTGAGGGGTAGAAACGTGAGCATTGGGCCAAATTTGAAAAGACTAAGTGAGACTATATAAGTAATTGCAGGGTTTCAGCCAACTTCTCTTCCTGGGAAGAGAAATATGAACCTAGACTAAGAATGGAAAGGAGCTAATCAACTGTACATTATGGTCCAGGGGTCTTGGTGTATTAGCTCTCAGTACTCTGCAATGGGGCTGGGTGTTTCATGGGCAGTGATGCTGACACATTAGAACTCTGCAGGATGCAGAAAATTACGTGCTGACAGACCACAGTAAATGAAGAATCTCATGGATGAGAAGATCCCACTTCAGTGGACTCAGACAAGTCTTTCTTCTCCTGACATTGGAGAATTTCTCATAATCTTCACAGGGGATCAGTTCTTGGCCCTCCACTGCTTATTTGTAAGTAAGTCTCTACAAGTGATGGGGAGGAGTGAGATACAATAAATGCTCAAGAGCACAGCTGAGTCATAGTGATTTCAGCTGCTCAGCAGGATCCTGGGTGCAGAGTCTATTTTTGTCTGCACACAAGCGCAGGGAAGCCTACCCAGAAGCACTAACAGGAGCTGTGAAGATAGTGACAGGCTGTATGGCCAATTTCTGTGTGCAGCACTGATACTGACAGTACTGCCATGCTGAGTGCTGCTCTGGCATTAACACTGGAAATGGATATTGATAAACTGGAGCAAGCTGAGAGAAAAAACTCATGTGAGCAACAGGCAGACATGGAGAGACATGGGAAGAGGCAAAGGGAAAGTGACTGGGTTGGAGCCATTCGCTCTTTCTAGACAAAGAAGAGAAGAGGTGACTCTGTCCATAACTACCTGATAAACAGGTGCAACAAGACTGAATAGGTGCAGGATAAGAAGTATTCAGATGAGAAGTAAATTGTAGACCTTTGCCAGTGAGGTAATTAACCACTGAAGTAAATGACTGAGGCTGTGGCAGATGCTTCTTCTAGGCAATATTTAAATTTTCTTGAAATTAAATCCTGACAGTAATGGGAGTAAGCAGACATTATTAATAGAAGCCTTCTACGCAGCAATATACAGGTGATGCAGGAGACAATAATCACAGAAGGTTCAGGTCTCACACTGATGTCTCAACATGCCACAGATTGAACAGCTTCAGGTCTTGGGTTTCCACTGTTCCTTGCTCTTCAGTTTTGTTCTTTCCCATAGTTAGATTAATTTGATCCTGTAAGGACTGGTAACACTGTGTGAAAAAAAATCCACTCTTTGGCTTCTCTGGCTGCTCTCTCACTTAAAAAGAGCAAGTTGTCTGCAGGTTGGAGTCCTTCTGGGTGGTGAAGGATGAAGTGCCCAGTGGTCCCTGGTAGTACTTGTATTGCACCACACTGAACAACAGAGCTGCTTCTCCAGCAAGGAAGGTAAGCCATCAGGTCCACCCTATTCTAGGGAAGGCAGTGCAAAAAGAATTTATCTGTTCTGACACCATAAATCCATTCTTGCTCACCAGCAGTGCCCATGCTTTGGGTTTGCAGTAGCATTAGGAAAGCTGTATAGGGGTGATTTTATACTGCCCTTTCCCCATGCCTATCCCTTCCCCACATTTCCAAGGCAGTGGGGAGGGAAGGCAGCTGTTGGCTGTTTTGAGGGAAGGGCAAGTGGGGCTCCTACACTCATGTAGGTACTGTGAGATTTCCCAGCTGGAGCCAGTGAGCCAGCCCATTTTCTGGGGCACCTCTCAAGTCCTCAGAGAAAGGAAGAAGAGATTTTGTCTGGCTGCTGAGGAAATGTGACATGGAGGGAGGAAACAGTTCTGTCAAGTGCAGTATCCTAACTCTAGCGGGGCCTAAAGGAGCCAAGAGAGGAATGAGGTTAGAGCCAGCATATCTGGTGCCCCCCCTTAAGTTTCCCAGCTTCCAGGCACTTTGCCAGGCAGATGTGGTTTCTGGTGCAACCATCTGCATCTACATCCTCAATATGTTTGTGTGGCTAGTTATGTATATTTTATCTGTGCGTGCATACATACCAATTGGGAACACATGCACAGCCTTGCTACTGGATGAAATTGCTGCAGCAGCCTCACGTCTATCCAGTTACAGAATTTGGCAACTGTGTCCACTGGCATCACATGCAATTTGAACACCTTCCTAACAAACTGCAGAATTAAGGCCACTACAGACTTTAGATTTAGGAACACTGAGGGCTCTCCCCAACCTCTATGATATTTAAGCAAAGATGATCATCTCGTCATGGCAGAGAGGATGAAGGTTGGGAGCCTGGGTAGCTTACTTTGAACTTTGCACCTGGCTGTGGCTAAGGCCTACTTGTTGCTCCCCAGCATGGAAATGCCTGCCTGTCTTATGGGGCCTTGAAGGCACTGGTTTATTGCATGTGGCTATGAGACTTTTGGGTGGAGCTATATTTGCAGGGGCAAATGGCTGTAGCCCAGAAGTTTTCCTCTGCCTACTGCCTCTGAAAGGCAAAAAAAATACTAGCAAGTGCTGGGAGGTGGCAATATTACTTTGCAGCTACCACTTACACATCGATGCAATCATATTTGCTGTCGCTCTCTGGTGGTCTGGGAACCATAGTGCTGCCAGTTTTGTTGGTGAAAAGATGATAAGGGGCTGTGCCAGTGCACAGAAGCATTGCCCAATAAACAGGTACCAGTAACAGGAACCCAAACTCAGGAACTTCAGGACGCTGAACATCCGGATGACACTACCCATCATGTTTAGCCATGCGCTCAGGATCACCTGCAGCAAGCAGAAACAGCCAGCGGTTGTGTGCTGAAGCCTGAACCACAGAACTTAATGCAACAAAGTAGCAGGGTCTCAGATGCACTACAGGAGGCACTGAGTGTTAAGTAATCACTGCATGGAAAGATGCCTGCAGACCACACCCACCCCTTCAGGCCACTGCAAGATGCTCCTGATCCACCAGTGAGTTACCTGTTGTCTTAGAGAGCAAGGTGTCTGTCCTGGCCCCATGTAAGAGCTACACTACGATGTAGCTTCTGCAAGACAGCAGACGCTGTAATGGAATTGATGAGAAATCCGAAGTTCACCAATACACTCTGTTTGCAGGTTTGCATGGTCACCCGTATTTTGCTGTGAGAATCCAGAGACCATGGCAATAAGTCATCCAGCATATGGATCCTGCAAATGCTCTTCTATGCCAATAGCATGCTAGTGTTTCATTGCCATGAGCCACAACAGTCTTGCTTCTAGGAAGAATGTGTAGAGATCCCAAGCTGGCTTAGCATAGACCAAGCTCTGAGATGACAGGAGTCCCTTGCTTGCACCCTGCCCCGCTGCTTCTTAAACTGGCCCTGCAAACAAAATAGCTGTGCTAACACTTTTCCATAGCAAACCTTACCCAATTACAGCAAGGTCTTCACAGAATCGGCTCACAGCATCTGTCCCTGTCAATTGGCTAAGAAAACAAAAACTGAAGCAGGAAAAGTAAAGTAGGGTTGAAACGTTATTCTGACTTTTTCCACTGCTACCCACCTCAAAGGTCATGTGGCAGCCATTACTGCACTAGAACAGAGCTTTCAACATGCTCATCCTCTGCAGCATTTGGCAAGACTCCCATCCACACCATGCATGTCAGTGTTTTGTGTGGCTACTGGTATCTCTACCAGTGAAATGCCCTCAGGGAAACAGAACAGTTCAACTCACAGCACATCTGAGACCCACGATGTCGAGAACCCATGTTGCCACCAGTCCAAAAGGGATTGAGATGAGGAGGTACACTATTGAGAGCCAGTTGACCATCTCCAGGGAAATATGGAAGTAGGCAGCTGTCTCATCAGCCACAGGGGCAAACGTCAGCCACAGCTGCAGAGTAGGGAGCAAAGATTGGTTAGCACGAACACCTCCACCAGAGCAGAAATTCAGCATCCCCTCAAGCTGTCTCAGCTGTGAAGGGGCTCACTGTCTTAGGATAGTTAGGTCTGAAATTAGGATGTTAAGGCTGATAATAAAAAATTCAAATCCTCAGTGTCTACAGTTACTCATGCTAGAATTATTTAACCACTATAACATCATTACCTTGGCCCAGAGCGCCCCATCCATTTCACTACCTCATCCCTAATACCCTAGTCCTGCTGCTGGGAGCTGGCAGAAGCAGAGGCCAGTACCTTTTCAGGTTGAACATGTTGGCGCCTGATGCACTTACTTACCTGATGGAAACCACAAGCAATCCTTCTACGTTAGCATAGACAAAACAGTGGCTGTCATCTCCTCTCTACAACTAAGAGCCTCCCAAACTGAGCCTGGTATGTACAGTTGCATTGGTAACACCTATATGTGGCCTTGTAAGAACAACTTTGCTACATGTCAGCCAAGAGAGACATTATTCCATGCTGACTTACAGACAATCAGTGGTTAGGAAAGGGCCTAGAAATTAGCATATTTCAATATATCAGAACACATAGCAGGGGAACACAAGAGATACTTTAATGACTATCCATCTTTTCCTTCCAGTGCCATGTCTGAAAATACTTCCTTAAACCTTGTTTTAGGTTTCATAAGGTTGCTGTCTGATTCTGAGTTCTTCTAAAAATGACAAGGCTTGCTTTGATCCTCAAATCAGGTCCTAAGGTCACACCCACAAGAAAGAAATGAGGATACTACCCCAAATTTCAGGATGTTTCTCTGGATTCTTTGTGAAGATGCCATCTGGTGCTTTTCAAAAAGACCAGCCTAACCTGAGAACAGGTTTCAATGTGGACATAAGCTATTCCACTGTTAGAAGATGATCTTGCAGCAGCTGAATACTGAAGATAATAAAGTTTGAAGAAATGTAACAAAAACTTCAGCTATAGCTTCCTAAAAAAAGAACTCCAGCCACTACCTCTTTCCAGTTACCCCTTTCTGCCATGACAAACTTTCTCTTCACAACCTGCATCCTGCACACAGCATCAGCTGCAGCATTAATATGTGACTGTAAAAGTGCTTGGGTAACCTTAGAGGAAGGTGTGTCCCTAAACTCTTCTACTTGTTATTTCTAGTGTTCTCAGCTCTCTCTACTTTTGCTTTAAATTTCTTCTAGCTGACACTTTGTCTTTCTTCTCCTGCACCTCCCAGAAACTGCCTGCTCTCTTCCCCATTAGTTGCAGGCCTGCTTGGGCACTCCTGTAATCAAGAACAGGTTACAGCTGTCCTCATCCTGCCCCCATTTCTAAGCTTCTTTGTTGCTGTTTCTGATCATTTTTTAAAGCCTTAGCTGATTCTCAGACATGAATCCAGCTCTCTTCCTCCCAGAATCAGCCCAAAACTCTAGTTTTCATCCTACTCTCATTCCCCTTCTACCTCAATCTTCTCCAGGTTCGGTTCCTCTGCCCTGCTGCCTTTACTCTTTTCACTCCCACACAGACTCCCCAGGACCTATTTCACCTACAGGACCCAGCTTCCCTCCACCCATTCCACAAGAGATTCCAACTTTCACTCTCCCTCCCACTTCTGCAAGAAGTTACTGGTGGGCTGTGAGCCACTAACTCTCTGCCACAGTAGCGAGGTGATGGCTGAAGGCAGAACTCTGTACAAACTCTACACTTTGGTAAGCAATAGGTGTGAGCTGCAGAAGGCAGAATAAACAAACACAGCCCCAAGCTTTTCAGAGCTCAAAGAGCAGTAATGATATGTTGATGCATCACATGTACAACCAGGCGCAGCCCTGCAAGAAGCAGTACTAAAAATGCTGTTTTTCATGAAAGGCAAGCTGTTGACCAATGTCTTGCCCTCCTCAGTAGTAAATCAAGATTCTGAGAGTGAAAAGCAAAATCATTCACAGAATGGCAAGCACATGCAATCAGGCAAGGTGGAAATTAGGCCATTTTGCCATGTCGATGCTGGTATCAGATAGCAAAGCTTGCCATGTGGAGTGCTCTTCACCATCTGGCATACTGTATAGCTGTGCATAGTGTAGCAACGCCCTGTAATGCCTTTTATGTACAGCTTAAAATGGAGGAGCCAAGGGGGGTGACTTACATGAATGGGACCTTCTGCTTTGTAACGGGCACAGGCATAGCTCACTGATCCCCAGGCAAGCACTGCCTGCAGCAGCTCTCCCAGTCCCAGCATGCTGTCTCCCATGCACCCGGACACTGCTTTGAAGGTGATGTAGGATATCTTTCTGAGACATGTAGGCTACCTCATTGTCCCCTGGGACCAAGCTATGAATCCCTTACACCAGACTGCTCATCTTCAAGAGCCACACAGTCTGGAAGGAAACAGCCCCTGGCCTCAACTGAAGGCATCCATGCAGACACAGCAGCATAGGAAGTAAGGACAGAGGCGTCAGTCAGAAAGGTCAGATCCCTCCCTAGATGTTAGTTTTAGGCTCTACAGCTTGCAGGAGGGCTAGCAGAACACAATAGCCAGGCAGCAGCAGCCGTGCGTGCATGTATGTCTACAGGGGCACTGCTGGAGGAGACAGGTGTGGGTGAGGAGCGTGCGCACCCTGCCCTGGAACATGCCAGTCTCCACTTGGGCAGCACTCCTTCCTTTCCCAAGTACACTAAGTGGTAGTGGAAGTACTCCAGGCTGGTGAGTCAGGAACCACCCAGCCAAGTGTGAACCAGTTCCAACCCTCTGCTCCCCTCCTCCTCCCCAGCTTGCACATGCTGACAAGCACAGAACAGGGCAGGAAACACTCTCAGTTTGATTCTTCTATACATTTCTCTGTTCCTAGTGCTAAGGCAAGAAAATGTTTCTCCTGTGAAACACGAAGTTCCACCTGTTCAGCTTCCCAAGAAGGAGGCAATGAGGAAGGAGGTATTTGCCTCTGCAGTTTACTGCTATGGCAGCTGTTAGTACACCATAACTACTCTTAAACATTAAGTCTTCAGATTAAAAAAACCCACACACTCAAAACCACAGCATCAGTTTGACAAAACAAATCCAGAAAGCAACCGCAGGCATAGTTATGTCACCCCTTACGAGGAGTGCTGCAAGAGACAGCTGGGGATCAATCATCTAAGCTTAGCTATGGTCAGAACAGCCTCTCTGATGAGGACTTCAGGTGACAAACGAATTATACTTACTTACAGCCTTCTTAAGAAAATGCAAGGGTTTTTTACACAACATCATCAGCTAGGAATTTCCAGAACAGCTGTATTTAGGGAATCAGAAACAATCCCTGGTAAGACAGTACCCACTTTGTACAGTTGGGAGAGACAGAGGCTTTTAAACTTAGGTCAGCAACAGAGGTCCAAGTAAGGGGCTATTTATCACCAGGATAATGGGGGAATACAAGACATCATCCCAGAATCCTGGTCCAGCTTGAGGTGATCTGTTCTTCCCAAGTCAGAAAATTCCAGTCATGTGTCCTCACCATATGCATTTTGCCGATAGCCTGATACAGGAATACATAGGACAAAGTGCTACATGCAAAATCTGCACAGGAATCGAGGACACATCTTAACTTGCAAGGTAATTTTCACACCATAGAGCTGGTAAATTGATCTTTCCATCTGGAACTTTTAAACAGCAACTAACCACTTTGATTTCAGGGCCTTTCAACCACTCCCTCGATTTTAATGTGATTTTTATCAGGAACATTTAGGAGAAGCTTTAGCATCAGGAAATGTTTGGTTACAACTTTGTATGTCAGCATACTTGCCATTCCAGACCTTTGCAATGGGTTAGAAACAGTACTTCCACCCTAGGATATTTATTAAGCACCCAGTTTTGAAGTGGTGAAGTTCTGGCTGTTCATACTGTGGGAAAATAATACTGTGGGCAGACAGGAAGTTGGCAAGAGACCAAGCTGACAGACAACAGTATCATCTCTCAGGGCTACAAAGTTTTCAGTAACATGCCTCAGGACACAGTTATACTTCTACCTACATTGAAAGGATCTTTTAAAGCAACCTTCCAGTTTCACTGTTAAGGTTTCAGCAAAGCCAAAGTCAGACAAGACATCCTGGAAATGTTTTGTCCACCTTCCTTCACCCATGCTGTCACTGTACACTTCTTGCAGCATGTTTTTTTTCTTGCTACATAACGTTCTTATGCTGCACCAATTTAACTTCAAGCAGTGGGGCTTCACGTTGCTTTTCTGCAGGAGGACACTTTTTTACACTCTTAAAGGATACACTGATTTTCTATTGAGAAGGCATATTGATTTTTTGTTTCCCATATACAGACAAATTCTCACTATGTTTCTCTTTCTCTACTCCAGCACTCTTGCATCACAGAATACCTGCTCTTTGTTCTCAACATTTAAATGCTTGCAGGTTGTAGAGGCTGATCTTGGCTGCCAGACAGCCCACATTTGCAGCGTCAATAATTCTAGCACATGAATAATTCTACATCAGTCTGATAATTATCAACAATGTCCTCAATGACTTTGTAAGGAAGATTTGGGCTTCCATCTTGCATACTAGGCATATTAGGACCTCGTAAGGTGAAATGTTATGCGATAATTACTGAACTTAGTTGCTTAGTTTTAATCTGTTCAACAGGTGGGGTGCAATCTGGCATCCTTCCCCCCCCCCCTTTGGAATAGAGTACCTGCAGGAAATAAGAAGGTCACATACCAGTTTTTGTTTAGTGCAGAATCGCTATACTGTTCTGTATGTGCAGCAGACCCTAAAAGGAAACCTAATTGCTCCTTTTTCTGACCAGATAAATTTTCTGTCACAGGCTAGCAATAAGGCAGAGCTAACTCCTGCTCTGCTGCCCAAGAGGTTTCAACACTGTTCTCCTGTGCTTAGGTTTGAAACATGGGACCCTTGCAGATGCTGAATATTTTCTATTCCTCCCCATGGCCTACCAAGTGGACTCGGCAACAATTTCAGTAGTGCTCCAGAATACATTTTGCTGTGTCCCAG